TATCTTGTTTATTTTGAAAATTTCAGTATTATTTTTATCGGGTTCCAGGTCAACGTAAAACATATCAAGTGGGTTTTTATTTCTGTGATGCAAACACGTTAGTGATATTTCTAACTCTATGACCCTTGGATTCAATTTCCTGCTTTAATTCGTTGATATCGGTTTTGTATGGATGTACTTTAGTACAACACGATATAGCTCTTTCCGATTTGATTTGGTATGTATGAAATACGATATCTCGAGTTCGAAGAAATTTAACAAAAATTACGGTAATCTTCAACAGATTGAACGTTAAATTTGGTAACTTTATCTGGTAAAGTTTTAATCGTAAAATTATTATTGTTAACACAGATTTCAGATCGTCTAACATTCCTTTGAAATCGTCAACTCCGTAAATAAAAACGGGAGGCGGCAATGCTTTTTTAACTGAAGCAGAGGTTTCAGTGACAGGTACTGGTCTTTATTAGTAAGGACACTAAATCGATTACCTAATGCTATCGAATTATCAGTTTGAATATTCAAAAGTCTTCTTTTAACGCCGGCAATCGGGACAATTTGCCATTTGTTTTTATTAGAATTGTTAGTATCTGTTTCAACTTCCATAACGCTAGATGACGGTATGGGAGCATTAGTTGTTATGTTTGTTGACGGTATGGGAGCATTAGATATATGTTTGTTGACGGTATCGGAGCATTAGTTATTATGTCTGTTGATGAACAAGTTGAATTAGCAGACTGATTACGTAGATGTTCTGTAATAAATTCTGAACTGGTATGTGAATCGTCGGCAATTACATTTGCGACTCCACAATTAAGTTATTCATTGCGAACCCCAAAGGGGTCTACAATTAAATTGTTATACAATGTGACACTCTTTGTATTAGACACTATTTAGTATTTGTTCAATAAATATTACAATCACTTTATTATAAAAGTCCGTATGAACAATGTGTTTACATTAGTTTTAATACACTGAAATGTACCCTTGCGGGTACATTCGATTATTTTGATTTATAACACTTGGGTATTATGATTCAACTGATAACAATACCTTTATGCTACCCATCCACTAGGCCACCAGGCAACCGAGCAATTTATGACCAAATGACCAATAAATGTCCAGTTGTAAAAATTTTCGGTGTCTCAGGCGATCGAACCAAATTTCATTCATATTTCTTGAACATTAGAGAAAAAAGTATGTATATTTCGAACGTGAAATGAGATAAAATCGACTTTTGTTGCAAATTTTAGATCGTTTTCATTTTATTTAAACATTTATTTTTTATATAAAAATCATATTAAACTTATTGATATTAAATTAATGTTGTACATTTGCAACAGATGAATTTGGAATGAATTTTGTCTCAAATATAGCTCAAAATATTATTCAAACGTAGACCAATAGCCGTTATAACAAATTATTCACGATTTATATTATATTAGAACCTAATTTTAACCTGAAACATGGCCTTTAATCTTGGAATATACGTCTACATTTACAATAATGCAGATACGAGAAAGGGTCGTGTAATGTGAATTTCATAAGTGAAATTAAATTCAAAACCAATGACTCATGTTTTTTGAGGTGCAATTAAAAACGGACAACTTTTAAAACAAATTCAATATTATATTTATTTTTGAAAAAAAAACACGAATTAAAAATCAATTTTTATTCATATGAATAAAATGTGGAAAACTTTATGTATGCATTTCCCCAGTATAATCAATTTTTTGTAGTATATAAAAAGTTTTTTAATAGATAACACATCGCATTACCGTTCTTACTATATTCTTTTCTAAGATTTAATTTATAATATATAAAGAAATTTGGTTAATTAATTAAAGAAAAATAAATTAATATTTTTTTTATATCATTGATATCAACGAAATGGATTTTGCGATCTAAGGTGTTAACGGTTAATTTATAGAATTTGGGTTTTGGAAAAATCAGATTAAATTCATTTGGGGATTTTTGGTTTGAATATACCTGGATTCAGGATTAATCCATTAAATGAAATGTTAGCTTTTACAAAAAGGAATTACTGCATTATTGAAGGCATTATTGACACATTTAATAATATAATTTAAATAATATTGTGAATATAAAAGTAATTACTTTATTTAGCGAATAATAATGTGTACCCATGAAAGTTATCATATTATTCTATAAAGTATGTATTTATAAATACATATTTTACCTACAGCAATTTTTACAATGCAATGTATTAAAACAACGTAATGTTTTATCTGTTTTTATATATTTATTAATAATACAATTAATAGTACAATTGTTAATATATTCATCAGGTTTAAAAGATATATATATATATATATATATATATATATATATATGCATACAATTCTGAAACATATGTCATAATATACATGAATTCTGAAGAATTTGAACATTTTTATATATTTTTTGTAATGATTAATTAATGATGATACAAGTATATTAAAAATTTCATATTCTATCGTGCTGCCAAGATACTTGGCCTTCATTAACAAAATAAGTTTTAAAATTGTCACGAACTGCAGATGCGCTTAATGAGTGTTCCATTTCGAAATTGCTTTGGCTTGGATCATCATCAATTGCATCAATATCGACATCGATGTCAATGTTTTCCTTACTTAAAAAATTATGCAAATAGCAGCAGGCTAATATTATTAGATTTACTTTTTTCATTGATAGATTAATTGCTTTTGCAAATATTTTGAATCTGCTCACCAGTATGCCAAAAGCATTTTCCACATTATTTCGGGCCCTACTTAATCTATAGTTGAAAATTCGTGTGTCTTCATTTAACTCCCTCAATGAATACGGTTTCAAAAAATATTCTTTTAATGAAAATGCCTCATCACCATGAAAACATAAGGCATTCTTTCGACATTACCGAAATTGTCTGGTGCTGGAAGATTATAGTAACCGCGGTCAATTTTTCCGTAAAATCCCGTGTCAGCCAAAACCCCACCGTCCGACATGCGACCATTTGTACCGACATGGACAAACATAAATTGCCGATCAGCATTAACGCAAGCCATTAACACTACCGAATGAAAATTTTTATAATATAATGATAAGAACCGCAATTTGGTGGTGCCGCTACGTATGTGCTTTCCATCCCATGCACCAACACAATGTGGAAAGTTCCACCTTTCTTCAAAGCGTTTAGCTATCACCTTCCATTCTTCACTATTTGTTGGCATCTGTCAAACAAAATATTAAATATATTATATGTAGAAAAATACGCATATACACAGACTAATGTAATTTTCTTTGCATACCTTAATATATTTCTGAGACATTGTACAATAGCTTCGCACGTTTCCGGAATTATTCTGCCCAATGATTGTGGTGATATGGCTGCAGAAAATTTTAGCTGCTCAAAATTAAGCCCAGTCGCCAAAAACCGAAGTGTTACCATTAATCTCTCAATAGGCGTAATCGCTTGTCTGAATTGACTGTCTTGACGTTTAATTAAAGGAGCTACCATTGCCAACAAATTGTCAAAATCACTTTTGTCCATCCGTAGTAATCCTCGCAAGTCTGTAGGATCCAGCACTGAATCTATCATTAAATTCAAGTGCGTATATTTGTCTCTGGAGGCAAACAATTTTTTTGCCATTTTTTATGTTTTCTGCGATTATTTGATTGACGCAAATTCCAAAAATATGCAACTAGTAGAAAATCTTGATTCATATTCAGTCACAAAAATTTTCAATAGTTAATCTCTATATTCGTACATTACCATAGATGATTTTCGAATGATTTTTTTTTTCATTTAGTGAAGCTTTTACCCTGCGTGAAAGACCCCAAAGAAATTTTGATACGGGGCCGCGCCAATGTACTCAAATTATTCCATCCTCAAAAAATTCCATCCATAGGCCTGCATTTGGATATACGTCTAATCTTAAAAGGTGATCTTATAACAATGATAATATCAAGTAAAGGTCGCGCAATTTCTATTTCACAAAAATATAATTCAACAAAAATGATACATTTTTCCAATGACTCATTTTTAAACGAACATGGTCACTTTTTTTGCAGTGCTGGCCAAACTTCCTATTATTTTTGAATTACTATGTTTGAAAATAAATATACCATCAATAATAAAATGAATACATTTTTTGTCATTAATAATGTTGAAGATAAAGATGCTTGATAAAATATTTATTACTTAATTATTTTGTAAGCTTTATGTATAATTATAAGGATTTTATAATTTCTTACACATTATCAATATAATAATGTTTTATGTAAATATAAATATAACTAGTTGGTATTGGTATTTAGCCTTGAGGCAAGTTACATAAACTTTCCGATATGTGTAAATAATCAACTTAATCAATAAAATATAAATTAATTTATGAGTAATTAGAAGTATTCTGAGAGGATTATTACACATCATTGAAAACGAACGACACTCTATACCAAATAAATCTAATAATCCGATATGTGCAAATAATCTATTTTAATTTTAACAAAAGTAAATAACATAAGCATAAGAAAAGAATAAAATGAAAACGAAAATAAAAATAAAAATACAAATGAAAATGAAAATAAATATAAAAGTAAATATACAAATACATATAATTATAAATATATAATTTACTATGTTTGAGTAATATACCATATCATAATTTAATAAATACGTAATGGGAAATGTAGTTTACAAATCATTACTTGTGCACAATAATCTGAAATAGTATAGATATTATATTATGTTATATACTTTATTCAACTGTAATATATCTTTGACAACTCTGATAATATTATTCTACAAACCGAAGGCCGCGGAAAAACCAGATTAAATGCATTTAACCCGTCCTACCAAAATACCTGAAAAACTGATAGATATTTAATGTTACTTAACTCCAGAGATTTTCAAAGTAATTATAATTGCATATATATCGAATAACATGATGTTCGAAAAATCAAGGCGGCATGTTTATAAATAAAATTATGAATCGAGAAGTTGAAAAACATTAAGTTGCAGATAACATATTTTACTTATAATTTAATAAAGATTTTGAAAAAAATATAACGCAAAAAATATCACTTTTTTGTATAATATGTATTACTCATAACAAATTTAAACAAAATGTGTTTTTATGCACACTTTCTGTAAATAAACTAACACCAATGTAATATCACATTGACATAAAAGAGTATTCATTTATATAAATTTTAATGTCTAAAATGTAATAGTGAATAATATCGGCTAATGTTAAGTTTGACAACCAGTGAGAGTTGCTGGAAAATTGTATTAAATAAAAGGGATTAAAGCTCTTTACATTACTGTATAGATTTCTGTACATAAAACCGTATATATATAGAAAGCATTGCTTAAAATTATTTTAGTTTGACTATTATAATCGTGTGATAAAGATCTATTAGTTAGAAATCTGAAGAGGAAAATATAGGTACGTATTAGTTTTTAGTTATATATTCAGTTATAATTAGCACATTCTGAACAATTATTGATAATAATTTCGATGGATTTATAGATATGGATTCAGAAAAATTTATGGTAGAATTTATAGAAATGTACAAAGGCCATGCATGTTTGTGGTCAGTATGTGACAAGGCATACCATAATAAACAAATGCGGAGTAATGCGTTAAAATCAATGCTGCCGGCATTTAAAGAAGTAAATCCTGATGCAACTATAGCCACAGTGGCCAAAAAAATTAAAAGCATCAGGAGCGTTTTCAACAAGGAGGTTAACAAGGTATTCAATAATATTAAAAATTCACACTTAAGGAAATATTATGAAAATTAATTGTTAGTTTAGTTGATTTGGACTGTGTTAATCTAACAGTATCTTATTCTAGAAAAAGCTTCTAGCCCAGTCATTTGGTGCAAAAAAATGCTGTTGCCTAGAAAGTTTTCCGAGAGTTTTGAAAATTGGTGATTTTATAGATTTTGATGTGATCTTTACGAATTTCAACTTTGCCACCTCGAATTTTTGCCGCTGCCGCCGCTATATTGGAAAAATTGCGTCAAAAATCAGTTTTTCAACGATATCTCCTTTCTGACTCATGTTACATTAAAATATCTATATACAAAATTAAACTAGACAAAATTTTCTATAATTTATTCAATAACGTTTTTTTCTGTACCGTCAATAGTTTTAGCGTACGTGCGCCGCAAAGTTTCTGCTGCTCGCGCCACCATCGGATATTTAGCCGCTCTTTGCGCTTGAACGCATTCTCTCTAATAAATATATAATTTCAATAATGAATTAAGCTTTTCTGCTCAGGTCTGGCCTAGAAATAACATAAATTAATCATTTTTGTTTTTCATTTTTATTTTTGCTGATGATTGAACATTTTAAACCATTAAATGTGTAATTTAATGCAAATATGAAATTGTTTGTAAGAATAGTTTTGACTATTGATTTGATTGATTGATTTGACTATTGACCTCAGTCCTTCTAAAAGTTTACCTTTATTGTTCTTTCTTTGAGCACTTGATTTACAAAAAATGCAAGTAAACTAGCATACGGAACGATAAAAATATACTGACGTCTAGAAAAAAATACTTCTATTGATTCTGAACTACGGTTTGTCGGTTTTCAAAACCGGTTTTTTAGTGAAAAAAGTCGGTTTTCACTGTATAAATGGAAATGACAAATATAGCCAAATATAAAAGATAGATGAAAGCATTTTGATTCTTGAAATCATATCATTTCTATAGCATTTGATATCTTATCAGTCTGCAATGATTCCCAGAAATAGTATATATTAATTTAGATTTTTATACCAGTGTATATATTAATTTAAATCAGTGTGACTTCTTCTTGAAGAAAGTAACTTCCTCTACTCAAACTTAAAAAATAAGAGTTTTAAACCTTAGAAGCTACAAATTAAAGAACAAAAAATTTGGAATTATCATATCAGACTTTAAAACAATTAATTTGGTCGCAAGTATGAGAGTATTTTCTATTCCAGGAAATTTTGATTCGTAACAAAGGACACGTCTATGTAGAAATTCGATAAATGTTCTCAGTTTTTTTGAAATCGTATTTATTAAACAAAAACAATTAGAATGTTAAAATTAGTTAATTAAAATTACTCGGAACAGACAATATCCGAGTTTAGCTTAATCATTTTTTAAAACTAAATTGATATTAAAAAGTATGTATCAAAATGTATCTACTATATATATATATATATATTTTTTTTTAATTTAATGATTTTTTTATTTAGAAATGTATTATTTTTATTTATTGAAAACTTTCTTTTCACTACCAAAAAAAATAATTTCATTCTTATATGTGAAAATGATAAATACGAATAATTATTTCAAATTTATTTAATCAAGATAAACTATAATTTTTTAGTTCTACTAATTAAAATTAAAATGAATTTGTTTACTATCTATAAAATTGAACAATAAATAAATTCAGTCAAATACTGCTCTAAATTACATTAAATTTGTGGATAAATTACAGAATGTTCGAGCAAAAATTTATTTTCTATATAAAATTCGAAAACCGATTAAAAACGTTTTTTTTAGTAAAATTAAAATTCGAAAACCAGTTTTCTGAAATGTCGGTTTTTGTATAAACCCTATTCTAAACATATTATACATATTTAGATGTAGAAATACAGATAATTGGCGTTGTGTGTTATTAGAAGATAATATAATCTTATATACAATACGCAGTAATCTGTCCGTTGCAATCGAGTTATTAGAACGATTATCGCCAAAGATTATTCCTATATACAGTTCCAATTTGAGTTCATGCAATATTTCATAGTTTAATAATCCCAAATTATATAAATATTGCCAAAAAAAAAAGAAAAAAAATGCATTGAATGTATGATTTAAAATGTTCAATCATCAGCAAAAATAAAAATGAAAAACAAAAATGATTAATTTATGTTATTTCTAGGCCAGACCTGAGCAGAAAAGCTTAATTCATTATTGAAATTATATATTTATTAGAGAGAATGCGTTCAAGCGCAAAGAGCGGCTAAATATCCGATGGTGGCGCGAGCAGCAGAAACTTTGCGGCGCACGTACGCTAAAACTATTGACGGTACAGAAAAAAACGTTATTGAATAAATTATAGAAAATTTTGTCTAGTTTAATTTTGTATATAGATATTTTAATGTAACATGAGTCAGAAAGGAGATATCGTTGAAAAACTGATTTTTGACGCAATTTTTCCAATATAGCGGCGGCAGCGGCAAAAATTCGAGGTGGCAAAGTTGAAATTCGTAAAGATCACATCAAAATCTATAAAATCACCAATTTTCAAAACTCTCGGAAAACTGTTAAGGTAAAACTACTAAATGACTGAACTATCTATGCGCTCGGGCTGTAGCGCAGAAAACGTTTACAAGCCAAAACTTTGGTACTTCGATCATCTAAAATTTTTAGATGATCGACACTACCCAAACATGAGGGCTATGTGCAGAAATTCAGAAGAACATTTAGAAGAACTGTCAGAAGTGAGTAATTTTTTTTTATGAAATGAATATATATATATATATATATATATATATATATATTATATATATAATTAATGTATTTTAATTTCGTGCAGATTGATGAAATGCAGACGACCTCGTTTCGTCGTAAAGAACCAAAAAAGGACCAGCTGACAGACAGACT